TAGCTTTTTAATCATTGAGTAAACGAAATAGTGGTGCAATTAGATTAGCTGGGGAAAATCTTGTTAGACTTGGTTAAATTTTAAATACTTAGAAACGTTCAGCTACTTTTTTCAAGTAATTGGATAAAATTATTGATGCATACAATACATATTCATTAAAAAATGTAGATAGCCAGAAACGTCCGTTATCTGAAAATACTCCAGAAATTAAAGAGCTTCTAGAAAAATTTTGTTGTACAAATTAATAAATGAAGACCCATAAATAAAAAGGGGAATGTTAAAATACCTCCTTGCTTTGAAAGTTTACAAATAATTGTAGGAGCTTTGTTATATTTATAGAGAAATTTAAAAGGAAAATTCATTGGTTTCGAACTAGCTATAGGTTATTGTGATCAAGATTCGGTAGAACATGATCATGCTAAATTCCGTGGTAGAGGTGGATTCAATTTCAATTCTACGGCGAAAACGTATGGTTTCATTATGTTAATTCTACAAGTAACATTTATACTAGTGATAGAGGTAATTTTCAATTTTTAGAGGCACAGTCTTTATTAGACATAAGTAAACATTTGCAAACTACCGAATCCTTACAAAAACTTGGTTTTTGTAGTATATCTTAAGAAGAAATCGAGGATTTTTCTAACATTGAAAAATCTCTTAAAATCTTAACTTACAAAGCTTGCAAGTAACATGCAAAAAAACAGCATTATGAAACTTATGAAACTAATGTTATTACGTTTTTCGCTGGATCTGTTGCTCGCAAAGCTTTATAAAATAGGAGTTATTCAGAATACAGCCATTTCTTTTTGAAAAAAAATGAATTTTTTGAGAACTCTGATTATTAACAATTATTTAATTCAAACTATACGTTGTCAGAAAATCGGTGTGTTGAAACTCAAGTTGAAAAATCGGAACAGATCGTTTTTCCAGTATCATTAACTGTCATATTGAAGCATTTTATTTCAGTATTTGTCACGAAGTAGGTTTTTCGAAAAAAATAACTGCCATAGCTGAGCAAGTAACAACTGAAATTTTTCCAAAATATTTCGATAAGTCACAGCTGTTACTCGTAGAAATTAGAAGCTTTAGAATTCTTATTATTAGTTAAGATTTATAAAACAAAATTCATTAGCATAATTATGCTAAATAATCTATTGCTCAAAAGTGTACAAAAAGTTAGAATAGAAAATAGTTAATAGTCAGTAATCTCTAAGTTTACAAAAAATAATATGCTGTTAAGTTCTTTAATTTTGATTTAAGTTCAATTTTTATATTTTTATTTTTATTTTAGATTTTGTTGATCATATTTTATTTACTTCATAACGATAAATTTCGCTAGTACTTGAGCTAATAAATAATAAATAATAAATAATAATAATAAATAAGTATATATTGCATGCATGTAAATAATATGTGTACATAATTGTATATAAACTATTTTATTATATATTATATTCATATATATACTGTAACATTGAAATATATCGTTACACAATCCTACTTAACTGTTTTTTTTTTTACCACAAAGACAATCGAGAGCTTAGGGTTACTTCGTTCAGGTCTCCTTAAATCATAATAGATAATGAAAGTAACCTTTATCCTTAGTAGATGAGATAAAATCTTCAGCTATCCTTGAGAGCAGGGAATAGCAACGATGCGTAGTCGTTCGTAGAACATCTCGGGACCAGCTACGTTTGTTGAGATATTACGTCGTCGGCAGACCCGAATCGAAAGACCGAGCTCTCTCGACCTCTAGCTAGAGACACTCACTATCGCTTCTTGTTTTTGCGCAGTAATTGCATTATTAGTACATGGTCGTAGTTGATATAAGCCCGCCTACCTACATACAGTCGGAAACACTAACATGAGAAGTGAGATACAAAAATCATTTTGTCGTATTACAACACACGCCCGCACACCCTCTATACACGTTTCCATACACGCACATGTACTCACATTCGTATACACCTACACACACGAAAATGGAACAACGTTGTCTTTTGTACATTATTATTTTTATATTATAATATTATTGTTGCAAAGATTTATTTGTTGTTATATAAATAATCATTTTTCAATTCAATAAAGGTTTTCTTTACATGTATTATTATAAACTGTACATCAAATGTAAATAAATGAAAATATTATATGTAATTATTTACATAGTGTAAATATCTATATTTAATAAAGTTCAATCATATTTTAATAACAAAAATCATTTTCTTTGTGTACTTGGACTCACTCAACCATTCCCACTTGTACAGCTCTACTGGCTCTATACCTAGTCCTTCCCACTCTTCGATTTGGACGTATACTTTCCCTCTTTGGACTGTACCTGGGTAGACCTTTCAGAGCCGGCCACTAGGAACGTCACTGTTAACTTTCGCTTAATTCCATAACATGCTTTGGCAATCTTCCTATTTATCTTTGATGGTACCACTGCTGATCATAGATTGTATATCCATAGTAAAGTTACGAATAGAATGACTAATTTTTATGAAATTAATAATTGTCCGGATTTTTTTATAATTTACACTTAAAATATAGTTTCATTTGCTAACGACGTCAAGTTTGGGTTTTTTAGTCAACTAGTATTCCCAATGCACACTGTATGTAGTAAATACTTATCAAATTGTACAGAGTATATAAATAATTTCAAATTATTGCGCCAAATTATTGTCATATCAGTAAGCCAATCACATGCAATAACTCCTATCTCCAACTAACCAATCACAATCAATATAGGTTTGATTTCTTACATTATTCTCGTTTTTAGTTAAAAAATACTGATGTTGTTAGGTGTCGTTAAGCGGTGAAGCGCATCCATTGTTTTTATTCAGTAATCATCGGTTTTAAGCATGAATCAAATTCAAATTATTAAAGATAAAAAAAATCTAAAATACATAGCGTACACAAAACAATATCATGCTTTAAAATGCTTATCGTAATACGTCGGTATTGATTAATAAATACCAATTCAATGTTATTCACCGGTTTAACAATAATTTCAAATCTAATTACGTAACAGAATTTTAAGTGTTTAACTGCCCAAAACGAACGTAGGTGCACTGCGCGCTTTATTCTGAGATTAATTTATTTTCATTCATCAATAACGATTTATATCACGTGTCCATCATTCAGCTCATCTAATAATGAATAAACTACCTTCACGTTCAGACCATCTCTTTTTTTATAAGAGGTAGGTGATGGGCAGTCCACCTAATTAGTTTCTTATTTCTATTTTTTAAATAAATAAAACAATTATACCTGTCAATTAAATTTTCTTTATTGTCTTAACACGTTGGCCTATGATTTCAAGCTTTTCGTAAGATATCACCGTACCACCAGACATGTTATTTTAACTGTTCTTCAACTATTTTTTTAATTGTTCTTTTGTGATAATTTTGATAGTTTGTTTATATTATAAATTAAATTTCTAAATTTTTTAAAAATAAATTAACGACACTAAATACGCCAAAATCAGTTCACAGTGTGTCATAAAATATCTATTTATCTTTATTGTTGATGTTTATTGAAAGATAAACTTTACATTATCGATAATCAATAAATTTAATTGGAGTGCCTTAATATTACTTTATGGTATTATTGCAAGGTTAGGTTATTGAGAGATGAATGTGAGCGTTATTGTTTTTCCAGTGCCTGCTAATTTATGTACTTATTTATTTTTATTCATTTAATTAATTGCGTATTCATCGACCTGAAACGCCTCAGTCTATTCTTTAGCGCCGATCTACAAATAATAGTAACCCATGAGACAGCCAATCACGTCGTGAATAAAAAGATTTCACTCGGCAAACCATCACTTTTTTATGTGGGAATACATTAATAAATTATAATATTATATTATAGTATAATATAATATAATATATTAATATAATATTATTATATATATAAAGGATAAAAAGGAAAACTTATAAAAGATTAAAAAAAATGATACTTAGAATTATTTATTATATTGACAACCCTTTGAATCTAAGTGACCTTATTTACTAGAAAGCGGATATTAAAATACAAATTACATGTTTTTGAAAGCCTTGGAAATAATTTATGACTTGAAATTGTCAAATTTTATTATACTTAATTTTTTAATGAATAACAGTTGTGATAAATATCTTGACAAAAATAACTAAAATTCATAAAATTATTATTTTTACCGAATTCATAAGGAATTAAAATAAATTACCGTAACATAATTTGTGTATATTTATTATTTAATTTTAAAATTATATTTTTTTATAATATGGTACAGGATTTTATTTCTATAAAAATATATCACAATATTGTAAAACACGAAAGCACATTTAGAATAAATAAACACTCTTGATAGCGATACGACAACACAACTATTTCACTGTTAAGCAAATGGCAATCTTCTATTGCGTGAAGACGTTGGTTTAACGAGAATAGGGTATAATAAAATAAAATAATTGATATTTTGGTTTGACAAAATGTATCAATTTATTAACAAATAATTATTTAAGTACTAAGTCATAAACAACACAAAAACTAGTATCATTCAATTTAAAGTAAGTATTGAAATCTACAAATGAAACTGTACAATAATTGCAACATACTCACCTTATGTTTTTGCAACATCATTGTATGTGTAAAAATACGATAATGCCAGATATACACTTGTCAATTTAAGAGAAAATTTACGACATAACAATAAATATACAGTTTATAAATTAAAATTAAACAAAATAGAGTCTATAAATGTAGTTGCTTACACAAACTACGAAATCTAATTCTACCCGAAAAATTAAAATTTGGCAAAAATAGATACGCGCTAGTCTGCTTAGACAGCATAGCAGACATTGGAACAAGAAGCAGAGCCAAAATAGAAGTAGAAAGGCAAACAGTGTTATGTAAAAATCGAAGTAAAAATCCATTCAAATATTCCGTTTCGGAAAACGTCTAGCATAAATGTACTTACCTGACCGTTGGACAATATCTAATAGAGAAAGACAGAGACTTACACCATCGTTTGAGGAATCCTCCCTGAAGTTTAGTACAAATACCTCGCTGCACTCTCATGTCAAAAATCGACGTGTTCAATCTGTTGCTCGTAAGTAGACAAGTAATTGACTGACTTAAACTACTATATCAAATAACTCTTCCTCTAGGTGAAAGGCAGTAAGAAAATAAACACATAAATTAACTCTTTTTAATCCAGGATCTAAAGCTCACTCAACGTAGCGTAATATCGATTTGACTCTCACTTGTAATTGAACTAGCACCTGTGACGTGTCAGTTCATGCATTAGTATCGATTCTAGTTTAGATTATTCAAATTTGAGCTCGAGGCTCCGATCAGTTCCAAGTCAGTTGACATACTATAGTCAAACCGAAAAGGAATGAAGAGAAGGAGAAGAATGCCAAGTAGTGACTTGCTTGCTCCTGCTCCTAGAACGAATTATCATGCCCCCTTCCAAAGGTGTTTCATTTCGTTTCCCTTCATCACTGTCGTTAAAAGCATAAGGGCCGATAATATTACATACCTTTAATTATTAAAATACCAAGCAACTTGTTCTCCACTTTTTAATTTTACTCAAATATTTTGATTATATCTTTTATTTTATTTCTTAACTGACTGTGATGGAGAAAGGGTGGGAGGAACGGAGGGAGAGAGAGAGGAGAGGGAAGTATAAAATCATCAAGTTGGGGTAAACTTGAAAGTCTATTGTGTTTTAAGAGAACTATCCAGGGTTATATGCTATATAAAAACATAATATATATATTTCATATAGATAAAATTTTTATTTATAATTAGAAACTATACATTATTTTAAATAATAGAAAGGATAAAAACAAAAATTTTACTAAGCTCTTTTGGTCATTTTAATTAAACAGTAAAAACAAAATACAAACTTATTTAATAAACTCGATTTTTTTAGTTCTCGAAAATAAATATTGTTATCTAAATTTTTTTAAGTAAAAAAATACCTACTCAAATTCTATAAAAGATCACTAAGTTGTTCTTCTTACTCTATTAATTGCTATCCTCTACGTTTTATATAGTTATTTCTTCTAGCTTATATATATATAACCAAAATTATATATATTATATATATTTAAAATTATATATATTTAACGAAAATTAATAAAAAAACTTTACTACCTTCACTACGTACTAATAAGTATAATAATCTGCATAAAAAGAATTAAAGAATTATTAAGATTGTTCAGGAAACTTTCGATTGTTTGAATAGTATTCACTTTTTCGTTTCACTCCGCTACTTCAATAACTTTAAACTTAAAGGTCATAATTTACCTGCATTAACTTCTCTACTATCTTCTGAGAACTATTTTTGTTCACCTTTAAAATAGATATATCCTTTTTACAACTTACCTTTTTTAACAGCCTTATAATACTCTTTACATTTCTTGAGCATTTTTTTACAGATTACCTATTTTATTTGATTTTCTAAGCATATAATTTGAATTTATGATAACTTCTCTCACAAGCTATATAAGTCAACAATAAATAATATGTAATTTATACAACTTGTATGTACGTATGTATGTGTGTATAAATATAAATCTAGAAATTCTACAATACCGTATAAATATATATGTTATATAATCTGTATTATTTATTATAGTATGGTGTTATAATATAAATTTATAGTATTAAATTTATATAACACTCAATTCGTAAATAAAAATGTGAAAAAATATAATAATGTTTATATAATATAAAGAATGTAACGAATGTCAAATGACGTATCTGATATATCAAATGTTATAGCATATGTAACGACTCAAATTCATTTTCTGGGCTACGTAGGCTAAAAATCAATAAATTTTATTTTTTTATATAACATATAAACGGAGTATTTCCATTTTTAAATTATAAGTCTTTCAAATTTGAGAGTTATTACTAAAAATACTCATGCGTATAATATGATTCAATGAAAGATTTAAGTAATGAAAGATTAATAATATATTCTGATATGAGATTAATAATATTATAATAATATATTCTGATATGAGATTAATAATATTATAATAATATATTTAAAAATATATATTTCAATTTCCTTTACTAATATACCCTTGGATCAAATTTTTCATTATTATATTAAAAAATTATCATGATCATTTGATTATTAAAATGATCAAATTTTTCATTATTATATTAAAAAATTTGATTAAAAAATAACTTCCACAAGAATTTACGTCTCATCACATCTATCTGGAAAAGACCACCATACTGCTAATATAAAAATATGACGAATCCACTGGGCTTATAAAATATACATTAGGAGAGGAGATTGACTTAGGCTACTATTTCTTCATAAGAATAAATGTCACGTGAATTCAGCGATTAGCAACCTTTCAGAATGGGAAATATGGGAGGCTAATCACTAAATAAGTAAAACATACCTTAAGTAGAGTACTAAGAATTTATTTTATTTTTATGTTCACGTTATAAAGCAAGACTGGAGCAAAAGTCCGAGAATGTCGCAACGACTAGCGATTATACGAGGTGTGTTCAAAAAGTAAGGTGACTTTTCAAATTTCACGGGCAACGTACTTTCGATTATCGATTTTTTTTGTTTTGTTATGTTGGTACACTCTTCCCGAACATCTGTACCAAGTTTCAAGTGTATAGCATTTTTTGTTTGGTTGTGAGAGGCGTAAAGGTTATAAGTGTTTTGCGTGCTCGGCGATTTCTTGCTATCGAAAAATATGGATCAAAAGATTTGCATCAAATTTTGCGTAAAAAATAAAATAAAGTGCTCCGAAACACTTGAAATGTTGACGGTGGTATACGGTGAAACTGTTCTGAGTAAAAAAAATGTTTACAAGTGGCACAAACTCTTCCAAGATGGCCGGGAAGATGCCAATGATAAGCCTCGCTCTGGACGCCGAAGCACATCAACAACTGATGAAAACGTTCAAGCAGTGAAGAAAATTGTTCTGGAAAATCGTCGAATCACTATCAGAGAAGTTGCTGAGGATGTTGGTATATCGCTTGGCTCGTGCCATGAAATTTTTTCTAACGTTTTGGGCATGAGACGTGTGTCAGCGAAGTTTGTTCCGAAATTGCTAAATTTTGACCAAAAGAACCGTCGCATGAGCATCGCTCAAGAACTGTTGAATGACGTCAACGACGACCCAGATTTACTCAAAAGAGTCATAACTGGTGACGAATCATGGGTATACGAGGTGTGATCAAAAAGTAAGGTGAATTTTTATTTTTCTCAAAAAATATTTATTTATACATCAATTTTTATTTTATCTCCTTCAAAGTAATCCCCCTCGGATATAATGCACTTGTGCCAACGCTTTTTCCAATCCTCAAAGCATTTCAAAAAATCATTTTTTGTGATCTTGTTTAGTTCATCCTTCGATGCCGTCTTTATCTCCTCAATCGTGGCAAAACGCCGTCCTTTCATGGGCCTCTTCAGTTTTGGGAACAAGAAGAAGTCACAGGGGGCCAGATCTGGGGAATACGGTGCCTATGGCATCGTTACTGTGTTGGTTTTAGCCAAAAATTCGCGCACAAGCAACGATGTGTGAGCAGGGGCGTTATCATGGTGCAAAAGCCAATTTTTATTTTTCCACAAATTCGGACGTTTCTGGCGGATTGCTTCGCGCAAATTGCGCATAACTTGCAGGTAATATTCCTTATTTACTGTTCTACCCAGTGGCAAGAACTCATGATGCACCACGCCCCTGCAGTCAAAGAAAACTGTAAGCAAAACCTTTACATTTGATGGAACTTGGCGTGCTTTTTTTGGTCTTGGTGATTCAGAATGCCTCCACTGGGACGATTGAGTCTTAGTCTCGACGTCATAACCGTATACCCATGTTTCGTCACCTGTTATAACCCTGTTGAGTAAATCTGGATCATCGTTCACGTCATTCAGTAGCTCTTGGGCGATGCTCATGCGACGTTTCTTTTGGTCGAAATTGAGCAATTTCGGAACAAACTTCGCTGACACACGTCTCATGTCTAAAACACTCGTCAAAATTGATTGGCACGAACCAAATGAGATGCCAATATCATCAGCAATTTCTCTAATGGTAATTCGACAATTTCCCAACACTATTTTCTTCACTTCTTCAACATTCTCATCAGTTGTTGATGTGCTGGGGCGTCCAGAACGAGGTTCGTCGTCGGTGTCTTCTCGGCCATCTTGGAAGAGTTTATACCACTTGTAAACATTTTTTTGGCTTAAAGTATACTCATCGTATGCCACTTTCAGCATTTCAAGTGTTTTGGAACATTTGATTCCATTTTTCACACAAAATTTAATGCAAACTCTTTGATCCATGTTTTTAGACAGCAGCAAATCGTGGAGCACGCAAAACACTTCTAACCTTGATGCCTCTCACAAACAAACCAAACATACTACAAAGCTGAAATTTGGAACGTATGTTCTAGACGAGTGTACCGACATAACCAAATAAAAAAGTCGAAGATCGAACGGACGTAGCCCGCTAAATTTCAAAATTCACCTTACTTTTTGATCACACCTCGTATAGTTATGATATCGAAACCAAAGTCCAATCGTCCCAATGGAAGAGCCCAGATGAGCCAAGATCGAAAAAAGCACGCCAAGTTCGATCAAATGTCAAAGTTTTGCTCACTGTTTTCTTCGATTACCATGGCGTGGTGCATCAGGAGTTCTTACCATATGGATGTACGGTCAATAAACAGTATTATCTTGAAGTTATGTGCCGTTTGCGAGAAGCAATATGAAGAAAATGCCCAGAATTGTGGAAAAACTATTCATGGCTTTTGCATCACGATAATGCCCCTGCTTACTCATCTTTGCTTGTGAGAGATTTTTTGGCCAAAAACAACACCACAATCATGCCTCAGCCACCATATTCACCGGATTTGGCCCCATGTGAGTTTTTCTTGTTCCCAAAACTAAAGAGACCTATGAAAGGACGGAGATTGCAACAATTGAAGAGATAAAGACCGCATCGCTGGAAGAGCTCAAGGCTATACCGAAAAGTGCTTATGAGAAGTGCTTTGAGGATTGGAAAAACCGTTGGCATAAGTGTATTGTATCTGAGGGGGATTACTTTGAAGGGGACAACATAAATATTGATAAATAAATAAATATTTTTTCTTAAATATACAAAATCGCCTTACTTTTTAAACACACCTCGTATACTCGTAGCCGGGGTCTCCTTTCACGCTGGATTGTCCCTTCAAGGCTCTTTTAGCAATTTTGCTCAAACTTTGAACAAGCTTTTACATGAAGTCGCGTACATTAAGTGAAAAGCTTTTATTTCAAAAAATCAATATCAAAACGCAGAATTTAATGATGTAAATCGTTTAATCGCAGTAAATCATTATAAACAAATATAGCAGAGAAATAGCTTTAAAAAA